AAAGTAGATTATAGGAGAGACGAATCGCTATCGGACTAGATCCGATAGCTTCCTAGCTTTTATAGCTAGCTACTATTAGCTTGGGCCTAATCGTCCCTAGTTACGTCCTGTCTCGATGGATATCCCGTGACCGGAGAGGTGAGGTATAGGGTACCTTGGGTTCTAACATTATAGGCCAACTCTAGATTTAGGCGGCTAGGGTAGTCGCCATGAATATAGCTCTAAAAATGCAGTTTAAGATACCTAAACTATTAAATAATTAGGATCTATAGCTCGGCTGTGGGGCATTCGCTGCTTTTGGAGCTGAGGGGCTCTGGACCCTAACTTAGCCACATGTCACGTGACCCAAGTCACGGGTCCCAGGAATACCAGGAAAGGCACGGACCCTCTGGGACCCTAGGACTCTAAGACTTTGGGACTATGGGACTTCTAGGATATAGGGTATATAGGAACTCGAGTACGAACTCTTATACTTATATTTAACCTATTTATCAATCTATTATTTAGATTATACTTAGGCCATATTATTAATTCATTATATCACCTTGTTAAATCCAGAAGGGTAGCTAGTCCTAAAGGGTTAGGGTTGGTTCTCGGGCAAGACAACTGAGGGAAGGAAAGGGGTTTTGTCGAGACGATAGTATCGGAGGAGGATATAACGAGTTAATAATATAGCCTAAGTGTAATCCAAATGATAGATTGATAAAATAGGTTAAACACGAGTATAAGAGCTCATACTTAAGTTCCTATATACTTAAGTGATCCCATAATATCCCATGCTCCCATGAAATCCCATGCTTGGTATATGTGGGATCCCATGGTATAGTTACGTGACGTTCGTTATATAATCCCGGTGTCCCATGGCTTGGCGCTTGGGACAACCATAAAATATTACCTAATCTTTATGGGGCCTAAGGTTATATGCCGTTATAAGCGACCTCTATCCTTACCCACTTCTTAGGATCCTAATATTACCTCCTCCCTTTCCATGCATGCCCTTATACATTAACTAATATCCTCCTATAGTACTATTCATCGTCATACTATTAGGAATCGAATAAACGCTACTAGGTGGATTACTATAGTGTCTTGTAAATATTGCGCGAAGAAGGGTTTGGCTTATAAGATGTTATCCCTAAAGGTCTAGTATAGGAATTATTATTATAATGGAATTTTAAAATGCGAACCTATAGAACCCACTATTCTAAACTTTTCCCGAATCGATTCTGAAGTCGATCGTTTGGAGAAATTGGAAGAGGTAGCAGCCACTAAAGAGGAGGCCACTATAGCCACTCTTTAGGCTACTTATACCAAAAGGAATCGTTTACTAAAGCAGAAACGATTATTGAAAGAACGAGAAAATAAGTTATTGGTGGATTCAATGAGATTTATAGAGGAAATTGAGCACCTTAAGAGTTTAGAAAATCTAGGATAGGATATTGCGCAGTTGGAGAATAGTTTAATACCAAGTGCTTTGGCATTAGACTAGGGTGCTTATCCGCCACCCATTAATCCCAAGGCTCCTAATCCTACTACAGAAGCCGTAGCTTCTTCATCCTAGGTATGTCACATCCTACGTCGCTTAAGTAGTGACATTCGTAAAAGGAAATCTTAAATACGTTACTAATAATTGGCCAGGTTTCCCTTAGGTTCCTATATATTTTCGCTTAGTAGGTATCCTTTCTATTTAACGAGGTATTCTTCTTTTTCTATAAACGGGTTGCATATTTATAGGATTCGTTCCACTTTAAATTCCATTTCTTCCTCTGGCTAGTAATAAAAGGTGGTTTCGACTAGTATATCTTAGTCTACTAGTTCTAGTAATAACACGTGGAATACCAGGTGTATATTCGCGTCTAGTAGTAACTCTAGTTTATAGTTTACTAGTGATATTTATTCGGAAATGTAAAATGGTCTAACCTTAACATAATCTAGTTTCTTATGTTTTCTTTTCTAGGTACGAAGATTCTTCGTAAGTAAATATGCTTTATCCCCCTTCTTTAGCTAAGGTGCCGTTTTACATTTTTGGTTTGTGTAGGAAATTGCTTGCTATTAAGCTTTCTCGAGATTCTCTCGGAGTTGTTCGTATATCTATTTTATATTTTCTACTATATCTATGGCTTCTTTTACTTTGACATTCGTAGGAAGTGTTTAATTAAAGAGATATGGATATCGTCCGTGATTTGCGTAGTACGGTGTATGTTTTATTATTATTAATATCTTATTATTATACGCGAGCTGTGCCATAGGTAGTAGTGAAACCTAGTTATTTTTCTAATTATTATAGTATATTCGGAGATATATTTCTATAGTCTAGTTTATTCTTTCTGTTTTTTCCGTCCGTCTGTGGATGA